GTTATTTTAACATTTCATTCATAATGGTTTTCCTTTAAACCAGTCTAAAATGCACTGCCTGGGTGGGGAAAAGTCGCTCCTTGGATTTAAATAGGCAAATGCTTAAGAGTTTATGACTGGATCATTATTGCAGTGATTATTATGTTTCTAGCATCGTATATGTTTGGCAACAGGTCTTCTAACCCTAATTGATGGGGAGTTTCGCTTTTAATTTATTAAGCACCCTTGTAGGAAGACACATCATGACCATATTCCAGGATGACAATGTCAAGATATACAGGCCCAAATTGTGAAAGAATTGTTGGTAGGAGCAAACATTCATTTACATCAAGATGTGCACCAATTTTTTGGTCAAGATCTTTTATTGACAATTTAAGAGTCAGCACCCTATAAAGTCTACTCCAGCCTAACCCAAAGACTTTCAATGAATTTAAGGTCTGAATTTTAGATCACAGCAATAAGGATCCAGTCATAGACTATATAAAGTATTTGCCTATTCAAATCCAATCCAGTGACTATTTTTTGGCCGGAGAAGTGTATTTCAGTAGGCTATCTTCCCTCATAACCGTTAATATAACAATCCAATAAGAGAGCCTAATTTTTATGCCTAAATACTCCTTCACCTTTCTCGTCTTCCGAGTGGACATTACTGATTTTTCCACCACTCCAGATAAATAATGTATCATTTTTTTTAAATGTAACATTAACATGACAGTAATTTCAACATGGGCTTTGTAACAACATAGAGCAAAACATAGATGGGCAAAAAAAAAGCATCGTCGTTTAGTCGACAAGTCTTTCACAATTTTTTACGATTTTAAGTAGGGATGCGCATGTATTTGTGAATCCAATTCAGAAATGTAGCAAAATGCCATTTGAGGTAATAAAATGAATGAGGACACCAGAATAAATCTGTGGTAATAAACCATCTTGGTTACATATTTAAGAGGCTAATTCAAGCAAATTCAATTTGTGAACCTATGAAAAAATTATGAGCAACAGGTTAGATTTAGAGTAATTTAAGACTGTGTGACATATCTACGTGTCAAAGTATGAATATATGCATGTATGTAAACAGTCTTTGTAAAATAGTGTTTGATATTGTCAGAGAGGTTCTATATTGTCGGTTAAAGTGATAAAATTATGTAATTTACTCACCCCTCAAGTTGCTCCAAACCTGTATTCATTTTGTTCTTCTGCTGAATGCAAAAGAAGATATTTTGAAGAATATGGGTAACCAAGCAGTTGATGGACCCCACTGAATTACACAGTATGGAGAAGAAGAAAAATACTGGAAGTGGAAGTCAGTGGGGTCCATCAACTGTTTGGTTACCCATATTCTTCAGAATATCTTATTTTGTGTTCAGCAGAAGAAAGAAATGAATACTGGTTCTGGACAACTTGAGGGGTGAGTAAATGATGGCAGAATTTTATTTCTGGGTGAACTTTTTAATTCACCTGAATCTGATTAGTAGAGAAAAATGTATTTGCAAGTGCATAGTTTAATGCAACAGCATATAAACATAACGCCGACAGCAGTTTACAAAAAAATAAAAAATTGCCAGACATTAGCATGTTCAGTTTACTGTCACATAATGGGAAATGACATAACTTGGCAATTTCTAGACTGAATCTTATATTCTGTACACACGGAATGAGAGGGGATTTAGAAAACTTTACACCATAGTGTAACCAAATTACTGTAAATTTTGACCCAAACACTATAACATGTCTCCATTCAAAAAACGCAATGTAAATATACATAACTTATTGTATTAACTGCCACAATTTGAATTTAATTTATTTCAATTCTAAATAATCAGAACTCAAGTAGCAGTGAGGAAACAAAATGAAAATCAATGCGAATGAATAGCAGGGTTTCTATTTATGTATCTTTTACATTTACTTTAACTGAAATGACCTCTAATTAAAGGTACCAGAAATCTGATGTAACTGTGGACAATGTGTAAACAAAACACCAAACAGTTTAAAAAAATATGGCTTTCTAAATTGAACTGGCACTTAGGTTTCAAGCATCTAATTCGGGGGACATTAGGCTTGTGCAAGAAAAGTACACCCATTTCTTTTTGTTTTTTTAGTGACATTATATTATCTGTGATCTACAATTATTGAGTTGCCTGCTGCAGCAAAAGCTGAAAGCAAGGGTTAGACTCCTTGCAACCATCAAAGTAAAATGTACTATTTCAGATTACATGATACGTTTCTCATTTGATTAAGTGATGTTTAACAACGGTATTTGTCCTACATTGGCAATATGAATGTACAATATAAATAACTATCGAGGTCATAAAAGCAGCAAAATAAACTTACCCTAAGGAACTAATTAATCTGAATTGTATTTTATGTTCAAGTCACTCACAGATTTGGGCCAATAAACAGTGGATGAATTTGAACTATTAAGATGTTGTCCACATGATCATTGTGTTTGTGTTGGAAATTATTTCAGATTTCTTGCACCCTAAGAGGTTCATTTCCAATTGAGACCTGCCAGGATGGCCACACATCTTCTGAAGTATTTGTTACAAATGTCTTTTTGACATCAGAACATCCGAGAAGCATTCATATTTTTCTTCAGATTTGGGTAGGAATAATTGGGGAGGGTCTGTTCAATGGAAATTGTTTTATTTTTATTTTATTTGCTGGAAATTGTATATTATTTTTAGATGTATGATTTGAAAATGTTTTATGTGTTGGAATGAATGTGGGTGTGTGGACTGTGATTTAGTTAGAGATTAAAAAAAAAAAAAAACATGTTCTAATGAATACTATGATGATGGTTTTATAATGAATCCATGAATGAGCAAAACTTTTTTCTTAAAACCACAAGCAAACCCCTTACTTCATGTATGTAACTCAGTGGTAGCGCATAAAATACATCAATTAAAATGGATAAAGTGAGTTTAATTGTTACCCAATGATTATTTGCTCAGTCTATCATTTAATATTAAATATATTTATGAAATGCTTTCTTTTGCACAAATTTCACACAGGTTAAGGTTCATGAAAATGAGATATAGGGTTTAGGAGACTGCCAGCATTGTCTTTCCTCTTTCCAATCAAATACCAAGGTCTTGGCACCTAAGCATCATTTCCTCTTTACTCACAGTGATTTACTTGTTCTTCAGACTGTGCTATTGATGTGCTAAAATATCTTAGACATTTTTGGAGGCAGACCAACAGTACACATTTTCAGACTCTTCCTAATCAAACACAATTCAGCTCATAAGCTTGTTGGTAGAGACTTAAAACAGAGATACCCTTCATTTGAATATGCCTAGGCTAATTCCCTTCTATACAGTTGGGAAATAACTGTATGAATTCAGATATACTACTCTTTTTATGTAGTTTTCATGAAACGGTAAGTGTAAAATACCCAGATTACCCACTGCCTAGGTTCTGAAGTGCACATCTGATGGACACTTCAATGTCCCATGAGGCCACGAGACAGGTGTTGTGAATGGAGGAGAAGCAACATAACATTTTCCTAAACTTGAAGGCCCCTCCCAAGTCACTCCTGAAATGGATGGTAAGGGAGATATCCAAAATGTGTTCTGTTGGTGTCCCTATAGGAAAAGTGTTGGAAAACATTGATCTAGGTTATGCTTTTCTGCAATAGATTAAGTAAAATGTTCTTAATGGGTCCTTAATGCAATGTGGAATGATGTATTGTAGGTATAAATTGCTCTTATCGCCAGTCAATTTAAGTGTAGTTTGTAACAAATATTGCATCTGGTCTTAGCTTCGATGTAATATGAATAAAGAGTGCGGCAAAAGCTGGCAGTTACTCAAACCCCATACAGATACACACACATTTGCTTATAAGAGAGAACAACACACAAATTAGTGACAACACAAATTATTGGAGTTTCTGAGGCTAGTCTGTGTGTAAACAGTGTACTGCGCTGCCAAGAGTGACATTACTGTATTCTCACCGCATTCAGGATAGAAGTGTTAACTGGAGTCGCAGGGGTAAGTGTGAACAGTTATTTTGTCCTTGATTTTGTTCATTCATGTATTCTGGTTCTTCACTGCAATAGAAAATGACTGTTGATGCCAAATGCACACTCTCAATCCTTTCTTGTCATCATGTCTAATTTTAAATGGGATTGCATCTCACATTAGCCTTTTAATGCTTTACGGTATCAGCTTTCACCATTTGATCAAATCTTTCCTTGATGAAGCCAGGATGCTTTTCTCTTTAACTTGCTGTACTGTTATCTTTGAGTGTTTAAAGAAGAATTTCCTGACCAGGTCTTGCTCCTCTTGTCGCTTTCAAGCTGTCTTTTTTTCAACCATGCGAATGAAGATTCAGCCAGCATAAAACCTCTTTAAGGGACAAGTCACTTTCTTTTTTTCTTATCAGAAGATGGATTTCCACGATATTTTCATTCAGCTTTCCAGGCCACTAATTGCAGATTCAAGAAGACTTGTACTGACTTTGTATGTCTACAGTTCTATCTACAGTTATTGTCATCTTAATTTCAACTGCTTCACTATGTTTATTAATAGCATTATTAAACAATAGCATTATTTCCTTTTCACTATTTTTACATGAATCATTTGTCCAGTTCATCTCTTGCATTGAAGAGAATTCTTGGAAAAATTAATTTAGCAGTGCCAAACTCCCCTTGCCAGTCAAACTTGTGGAAATTTGCCATTGACAGATATTTAACATTGACTGGTGTAATAGAATTATGGTTATTTGTGTTTCTTCTTTTTTTTTTCTTGTCTACGTGTGTATGCTTCAATGGTTTTTCATTTTCTATTGCAGTTGAGAAGTCACAACATTATAAATGTCTTTAAATTATATACATTTTCAATGATTTGTTCATTTTGTTTTACCCTGATTAAAGAAAAAATGTCAGAAATAAAATAGGATATGAAATGCAGAAAGGGACCGTGTGTTTGTGTGTGTGAGTGGTTTACAAACATTTACCACAGTGCAGCAATGTTAACATGCTAATTTTATCATTGCGCAGCATGAGGAACGCTAGTGGACTGACCGCAGCTGACCTAGCCCATGCCCAGGGCTTTCAAGAGTGTGCCCAGCTGCTTTCCAATGCCCAGAACCAGCAGCTCAGTCAGCTTAACGGGTTCTCAACCAATGGCTCTGTGTGCTTTGGGGACCGCAAGCTAATCCAAGAGCGGAGCACCCTTAATGGGGTTCCCAGCCGAAAGAGGTCTCTTGATTGCATGGAGTCCAATCACATTAAGAAGGCCAGAACAGATGGTAAGTCTTGACAGTGAATTTACCATTTAAGTGCAAGAAGATGCAACCCAAAACTCAATTTGGTATTTAAAGTACTTAAACACTGAATTGACAGAATTCTCTTTTGTGTCTCCTTACACTTGAGAAGACAAATACACACATAATGACAAAATACCCATGCTGCGTATCCTCGTTAACAGTTGAATATGGCTACGTTTAGACTGTCAGTCCAAATCCAATTTTTGTGTATATTCGATTTAGCAGGTGTGATCACATGAAAGGTGAAAGGTCAAAAAAATCACATGAAAGGTGTTTCAAGCTACATCAATATGTGGTTTGAAATCCTATTCAAGTTGCATTTCTCGAAATACGTTTCTGTCTGACTGCTCTGATCGAATTTCGCGTGGTTTGTGACTTTCTCACGCCGCATAAAACATAACCGTCAGACGTTGTTATTGGAAACAAACATGCTTAAAGTCGCTGCCGAAACAAGACTGTGTTGTTGCAAAGTGCCGGATGAGCAGAAAAAGAACAATATAACTGAGATGTATGTTGAAACCGGCGGAGAAAAAAATCTGTTTATACCAGCCTTCTCCGGTTCTACCGCGGCCTCTGAAGATGCAGGCAGAGGTGTTTGTTCACCATTGAAGACATATGTATTAATAAAAATATTAATTTTAAATAGTAAAATACATAAAGTACACATTGTCCCTTTAATGTTTGAATTTTATATTAGTTAGGCTCGGTTTTGATGTTGCATTAAAATTGAGAATTGTGAAATGCTGGTGTCATTTGCTTATTAAAATATGGTTAAAATGCTTATTAAAAAAAGGTTACATGGGTACAAAACAATAACTACTTTTTTGACAGGGCAGGTAAAAACCCAATCGAGTCTACAATATTTTTTTTTCTCGTGAAATGCTGCTTTTGGTCCTAAAGCAAAGTCATTGGACTGTCATCACCACGTTAATACCTCAACATGTGTCATTGCAGATCTCGGTTATCAGCCAGTAAACGGATCCAGCGGAAAGGACCAGATGGAGAACATGCACATGGAGTTTGGCCCACCACTGAGTACCACAGGTGGGAACCAACTCTTAAATGGATCCTTGCCTTTGGCGTCCAATGGCTACATGAGTCCAGAGCAAGACAGGGGGGTCCACATGGAGAGCTCATCCTCAAGTGGACCTTCAGTCCACAAAGAGTTGGAGGTCTTCACCGTGACCTCCATGCAGATACCGTGTCGCTGCACTAATTCCTATGCCTATTTGTAGGGGCATTTGCCTTTGCTTCATTTAAACTGTTTTGGTGATGTGTGTCTGGGAGGGAAAATAATTTAATTAGGCACACATCACAAGCATAAAACATTTGATCATAAATTACTCACACCACCCCGTCCTTTTAACTTTTGGTGGTATGCACTTTGTTCAGTAGAAGCAAATTGAGTTTTGTTTTGCACAATGACTTCCCTGAATGCCATTTTAATTTTGATTCCAAAGCGTTCCAAGAACAATTAAAATATTCAGATTTTTTTTTTTTTCCTCTAAAATAGTTTCATTTTTTATTATGTGGCTGTTTATGCCCTGAAATCGATAGTTGGAAAGTTTGTTATTTTCTCTTTAGTCTTGGTACGATACTGATTGACAGGTTTTGCTGTGAATCGGTATTTTTCCTGCCAAGTTCCTGCCCTTGAGTTTTGTAATGTTGTTGGATTTTGGTTCAGGCTGTTGGTTAATACTTTTGATATGAATGGCTCATATTATTTTCCTGTAGAGTAGAAAAAAAGCCCTAATTCCAGGTGAATGGATTTTTTTTCCATGTTTGAAACATGAAATATTGTGCTTTTTTTTTTTTTTCTTGAACTTTTTATTATCTTGTTATGCCAAAGCATATCTTTTCATGAATGTATAGAGAACATCCATGGACCTTCGCTGTGCAGCTTTCATGTGTGTGTTCTTGTATGGAAGTCTAGGTGCTATTCGGTCACTTCTTTAACCTTAGACTATTTGACTATGTTAGATTGTTGTTCTTTTTCTTTCTGTTGCAAAATCTGTTGAAGAGGGTCTGTCTCATTAGATTTATTCAGTCTCAAGTCTTTATCAGTCAGGTTATAGTATGAGACTCTTTTTTTTCCTAGCTAATATTTTGCATAGAATTTCAGTGTAGGAAATATTTGCTAAACTGATTTCGTATGATAGTAGCTATTAATTGAGAAAAAGTTGGTTATTTACATTGTACTTTATATAAATTCATATAAAAATGGTCATTTCACACAGAACAAATGGCCGAAATGTAGAAGTGCATATAGACTAATGCATGATTTCCTACTCAAACTATTCTGAATTACAAAGGGACGTCTGACTGTAAGTGCTCGTTTAAACATGAGATTGAGATGCAAAATATTGTTCATGTGTGGATGCCTAAGATTGATGCAAATGTTATTTCTATACTCATTAAATGTTCTGTCATTTAACAATCACAATTGACTCTTGGGTTTGTACTTATGAACTTAGAAGCCACATGCATGGTCATTTGATACCCTCTTTAATAGATTATAATCCAGTGGTTTGCACTTTCCTTTGTAACTCCTGAACAACTTTAGTGCTTCCACACTTTACATAAATGAGATTAAGATTGAATCCCTGTTATTTAATATTGAATAAATATGAATTCTGCAAAATATTAAAGGTTGCAGCGACTTGAAGCAGGAGTCTAATCTCGGGGTCAAATGTTCAGGTGTAATCATGATATGTAAACCAAACTGGATGGGATTTTGAAAACCCTAAACTGAACGATCTACCGAGTACCCCAGAAATGTCCACTAAAGAACGTTAACGATGCAGAATTCAGTTTGGATCAAAGACAAAACTTGTTAGAAATTGTTGTGCAAAACAAACCCATTCAGTTAATATTATAATGTTGATGAGATTATAATTCATTTATTTTCTTTGACAGCAGGACTTCCGTTAACTGGGCGCTGCCATCCTGTGCAGCACCTCAATGGTGGTGACCTGATGCGTGGGAACGTAAATGGGAATTCAACCGATGTTGAGAACTGTGATCATTTTGGGAATGTGGGTGTTTCTTTACATATTGGTTACTGTGACAAAGGCCTTCCCTTTGGGCATCATATTGGAGATACAGCTGAGAACATGGAGGACGCAAGCAGTCAGATAGAGCACCGCAAGTCAGTCAGTGTAGAGGAGCAGTATGACCACATCACCTTTAACACCATGCACCTCTATCATGGTTGTTAGGATGTCCCATCTGGACTCGTATGCCTTTATCCATAGAGAATGTGCTGAATTGCTTAAAGTCCATGTACTTTTGACAGGGTCACTGTATATGTATTTATGCAAATACATTTTTTTTTATTATTGTTTTCTAATTTTGGCCATTTAATTCAGTTGGAGAATCCCAGAAGCTGTTCATTTTTATGCATTGTTTGTAAGGACATTCATTGTAATAATTGTGCCTACATATAAAATGTAATTGTTTACTGCCAGCATTTTCTTAAATAGTAGCTAACGTTATGTACTGTGTGAATAAAATGGTTGATGAATTGACTGAATCATGAATCAATTTCCACCCTCGACCTTTTTTACATTTGTCACCGCTTGTGGTAGCCCATCTATAACTTATGGTAACGTGTTGGTGTTCACTGGTTATATTGACCTGTACAATTTATTTATACTATAGTACACACACTTCTAAAATCAAAGGCCCTCTTTCCTAATTATTATCAAATATATGACTGAAAATGTGAACAACAAATGAACAGTAATCGTTTACCTGTTGTGAAATATCATTCACATCAGAGAGTACAATGACCGTCGTTTATTGCATTTCCCGCCCATAACCGCTAGGTGGACACTGACCTCATTCCTCCCACAGAAACGTCATCGAGGCTGTTCCTTTGAACAAGGCCGTACCAACTATTAAAAAAATAGGGGGACTTCAGCCATTCACGTAGTCTGAGAAGAACATTTCAGGCAGATTATCTTATTGATTCTCTTAACCTATAAATACTTCAAAACAATTAGTGATATGTCAATCATTCCGTCTCTAAAAACAAAACTCAAATTTGATTCATATACATAGTGTATGATGATTTTGTATTTTCCGTCGCAAATATCCCCCTGTGTTGGACAGGTGGTATAATCGTGTATCGTGAAAAGACGTCTTGTACTCAGAAAGGAATATTAATCCCCACTGTTGTTGTGATAAATATACTGTTACATTAGGATTTGTTAGTAAGGCTCTAAAAATAACCCCTGACGCTTTTAGTGTAGTTAAAGATGTCTACTCCAGCTAGAAGGCGACTCATGCGAGATTTTAAGCGGTGAGTAGCCGAAAAATGGTAGATCTGTTTGGAATAGCTGGCTAGCTAACGTTAGTTAGCTTCATAATACTCAGCTCGGTAGGCGAATATTAAACGTAAAACAAACGATTAAAAACACGACATTTAATGTTGTTCTTATTGATGTGAGTCTGTCGGTGGTATCACGTTACCTATTTACATTGAGAGGATTTACTGAAACTCCACGTTTATCTTTGAGTATTAGCTAACTTAGCTAGCTTGGTAATGTAAGCCGGTTAGAGAAGTTATTCAAGCTTGACTTGTCTAAATGTGATACTATTTATTAGCCAATCAATGTCTCTATGTCGAGTAATGTTTATAAAGTAAACAGAAGCCACACTTGACTTTGTCATGTAATATCACAGGTTTTTAATAAATGAACCTGATCGAGGCACTGAAATATAGTTTTGACTCGGTGTTCCGTGTTGGTTCCGCACAGGCTCCAGGAGGATCCGCCAGCCGGCGTTAGTGGAGCTCCATCTGAGAACAACATCATGGTGTGGAATGCAGTTATATTCGGGTAAGAAGAGAGAATTAAAAGGTCAATTCACACTGGATTGACACATGCAGACAGTCACCAGATTACTTACTGCACACATCCCTTCTCAGACATGCTAATTCAGCCTGTAACACACTTATCTGACCAAACCTGACAAAGTGGCTGTTGCTGTCTTTTGGCCTAAATGAATCCTGGAAAACTTTTGAAAATTATTTTGGGGAAAATAAACACACTTTTATTATTATTATTAATATTATTGTCCTTTTTTCTACTATATTTCATTCTGTGCATATTACTTCTTTGAGTTTGAGGGCTTGACTGATGTAAAACTGGTTCATATGTGCAGCATGTGTGCATTGTTGTTATTTGATGCCATGGACAAATTTAGTGACACAAATGTGTTCTGTCAGTTTCCTCCTGCCTTTGACCTGATTATTGTTTCATGTTTTTATGTGCAGTCCAGAGGGAACACCTTTTGAAGATGGTAAGTGTCTGTCTGCTGACCTAGACACGTCACGCATGGTCAATTGCATGTGTAAAGAAAATTGGTTACAATTGTCTTTTACTGATTAAAGATGCAATGTTGTTTCTGCTCTACACACAAGGTACCTTCAAACTCACAGTTGAGTTCACAGAGGAATATCCAAACAAGCCCCCAACTGTGCGGTTTGTCTCAAAGATGTTTCATCCAAATGGTGAGTGGTGCTTCCTGTTTGTCTCGCATTCAAAGCCTTGTCAAAGACAATCTAACCCCCATTGCTCTCTAAAGTGTACTTGAGATTAAGTACACAGAATCTGGTCCTGTAGGATTTATTTAGTCCCTCAGTTACAAAGTTCCACACATAACATTAATATAATAATATGTTTTGATTTAAAAAAAATTGTAATAAACCAAGTAGATTAATGTATATGCATTTCTTGGTCAGTAATATACATTTGTGACTGTATTTACTAGGGTTAAGAAATATCAATTTCACTATTTTAATCTATTCTCGTTTATTATTAAATCACAATATAATGTTCTGTTCATTCATCATTTGAATCAATTCTTCTCAATATTTTCAAAGCAATTATCAGTTACTGCTGTCATATTTTCTGTACAGTTATTATGGCACTTTTCTACTACACAGTACTCGCTTGACTCGACTCGGCTCGCCTTTGTTTGGTTTTCCACTGTGTAAAAGTTGTACCTGTTCCTGCTTTCGGGTACCTTTTTTTGTACCACCCCCGCTGAGGTTCTGAGCGAGCTAAGGCTATGCTAAAATGTCACGTGAAAACAATGCCGACTGCTGATTGGTCAGAGAGAATCGTCACAATTCACTGCGTCAACATTACACGCGCCAGATGGAGTATTCGGAATATCCCTGCTATTTTTAAATAGTTTGGCCAGATATAGTTACTAAACTAACTACTATTATTATGGCAGCTCGGAAGAATACGCCATGGTCAAACGAGGAGGTGCAGACTAAGATGTTTTGAAAGCATTCTTAGAGATATTTTACCATTTTAAAAAAAAATTTCATGCATGTATTTTCTATATTTATGTATTGATTGTGAATGTAGGGAATATGTTTCTTCAACTTTTGCTGTTTTTCTCAGTGTATGCTGATGGCAGTATCTGCCTAGATATTCTTCAGAATCGTTGGAGTCCAACTTACGATGTTTCTTCTATTCTGACATCAATTCAGGTTTGTTAATTAACTTTGTTTTATAGACCATTTCACAAGATGTAAACAACACTGGTCCAGAAACACTTCCTGTTTCAGTTTGTAACTGTTTTCTTTATTTCACATGTAAAGAAAACATCTTAAAGATATTTGAAGAGTTCAGATGCAAAAGCCTCTAAATGCCATTTGAAATTTTCTTCTTTAATGATGATTTTTATCAAACTTGTATATTTAAGTTCAGTAATTTCACTTAAATAACAATTAATAGGTAATTATCATTGCCATTTAAGTGAAATCACTGAACTTAAATATACAAGCTTGATAAAAATTGTCATTCTAGAAGAAAATTTCAAATGGCACTTAGAGGCTTTTGGATCTGAACTCTTCATTTGTTTAACTTTTTGATTCAGTTTTAAATGTTCTGTTGGTTGTATTTTATCCCAGCTTTTATGTAGTGTTAAACTGAAACAGGAAGTGCTTCTGGACCAGTGTTGTTTACATCTTGTGAAATAGTAAAAAAGTCTATAGTAAAAAAAAGGCTTTGTTGCATTTTGACATTTATGAAATCTGAGAATTGTTTAGAATGCTTGTAAAGCGCTTTGGTGGCCATTTGGTCTATGAAAGCGCTATATAAATGCAGTCCATTTAACATTTACTTGTCTTGATTTGTGTTTTTCTTGAAATACTTCAAAATGTAACTTTAAATAAGACATGGGATGTTGATAACTGTAAATGTGTCATCACAGTATGTGAAAAGGTTATTCCTTTTGAGGCCTAAAATTTGATCTCTTTCTTTAGTCACTTCTAGATGAGCCCAATCCCAACAGCCCCGCAAACAGCCAGGCAGCACAACTGTATCAAGAAAATAAACGAGAATATGAGAAACGGGTGTCAGCCATTGTAGAGCAGAGCTGGAGGGACAGTTGACCACATTCACAAAACCATGTTCTCACTGAAGCTTTGTTTTCCTTTTGTTTGGCTCTGTTGTTGGAGGATAGGTTATCTAATCTCCATTTTTAAGTTTTTATGCACTTTATTCATGCAAGATTGTGATTTTTTTTTTTTTTTTTTTTTTTTTTTTTCTTTCGTTTTATTTCTCTCCCACATTTTTGCCTGGGCTGATTTTCAGCTCACATTAAGATCGCTGAGAGGGGAAATACCCCCGGTGTATAAGGCTTGACTAATTTTGCATCCGGCATGATAATGCAGTAATTGTCCATTTTTACAAAATGCATTTGCAAAAAAAACATATTATGGATGATTCAATCAAGGTGTTCTAATCTGGTTACATATGATACATTAATAGACTTTAATCTAAGTCATAGTAATGTTGATGAAAATGTTCTTGGTGCTTCATTGTCAATTTTAATATCATGCCGTTAAAAGTGTCCTTTTAATTTGTTTTGCTTCCATTTTTTTCCTGGATTCGTTATGCTGATTTAGTCACGACTCTTCTTGGCTCTGCCAGAGGATGGTTGGCATGTTACCACAAGAGTGGTAAGAATCTCTAGTACGCACTGAAAACACATTCAATGTTGGCAGACAGATGTGAGGGTTTATATAAATGGTCGAAATATGTTGACACAAAATGGCAATATGTGTGGAGTATAATATATATATATATTTACTAGTTGAAAAAAAAAAGAGATTTTGCTGGAATTACTCAAATGTCACAAATATCCTTTAAAATACTATTGAGATTTACATTAATTGCAGTTATTTACTGTTCATGGCTTGCATCACAAGTCCAATCAATCAAGTCAAATAATGTCTTCAGGTCTTTTTCCAAACCCATGTATTCCCTGTTACATGCATGAATGGCCGAGCGTGTCCTTTCCTCTACTAATCTTGTATATACAAAATTTTGTGTACAGATTTTGCACTGGTTGGCAGTCTCATTTTCCAGCACTTGTAAATAGGCTACTTGAATAAAAGGCGAAACTACCTTTGTGAGTAATGCATAATTTATCAAGGCCTGTTCAGTTTTCACACTGAGAATGCCAACTACAAAAAATATCTATAACAATAACTTTATTAGTGTTTACACTAGCAGATTATTTTTTTATTCAAAGCTTCTGATGTTCACAAACAAACAAAAAAACTAATCTTTTCTCACTGTGGCGTTATAGTTGTGCTGAGGACTTTTATTTTGTATTTAGAACGATTTTTGGCACTATATCATCATTATAGTTACTGTACTTTAGTCTGTCATAAAAGCAGTAGACTTTTCTATTTACTAAAATGGAGCCTTTCATCTTTCCATTTAATAACACAATTTTCAAAACTAATCTAATACACAAAGTTAGTTTAAACCAATGACTGTTAAAAAAAAAACAATCACACATTTATTGTAAGAAACCGAGAACATGCAGAAGAGCTCACGACAAATTTTTGGCCCACATTTGCGATGTACTTTAAGGCCTCATCTAAATGTTTACTTTTAATAAGCCATAAAACAACACTACAAGAAGCATGGTTTATTATTTTTTTAATGAACATATGTACAGTTATGCAAAGCATAAATACAAAACCGTTAAATTATTTTTTACAAAAATGCATTATACTTGTGGTTGGATGAACAGGATATTTCCAATACTGTAGAACATTGATAACTAAGTAGCTGATAAGTGAACCCTATCTCAACTATATCCCTAAAAGATATACATTTACTAACTGATGACCAACTCTAGTTTGTAACATCTCAAAACTGGCTACTAAACTCCTGAATAGAAAAACATTACATGGCAACCAGGTACACGTCTCACTACCTGTTGTACGATCTGTCTTTTTTCGACCTTTCTAATGCTTTGTCCATTGTCTTCTCATTGTCTCCTCTGCACTTCGGACAGTACCATTTCCCTTTGGGCTTATGGTACAGGCCAACGCATGAGAAGTGAAACCATTCAATAGTGCATTCTTCATTATCGCACCCTATCATCTCTCCAAAAGACACTTGCTCACACAGGCAGTAAGTGGGTTCATTGGGATCAATCGGCAGGTCAGTCGGTGACGGCTCCCTGTCCTGCTTACTTTTAGACCTCTTCTTCTTCTTCGATGACGTGGATGACGTCTTAGCCTTTTTCTCTTTTGGCGTGCCTGAAGCAACCTCCTCGCTTTGCTCCATGGTGCAACTGGAGTTTTCCCGGTTCTCGGAACCGTTTTTCTGCCTGCGTGAACGCTTTCCACCAGATTTGTCAACTGAAGTCGGGGTCTCATCTCGTCTACGGTCCACAGACGGCTTACTGGCCGACAGCATCGCAGCAGAAAGTGGTGTCATAGTAACGGTTGCTACAGCACTGGGGGTGCTGCCCACCGACACGGTGCTCTCCGGAGAGTCCTGGGAGGCCTGGAAAATCTCACCCTGCCACTCAAGCTGCCGGCTGCGATTCTCCACCATTTCCACCATTTGGCCTGCGATCTGGATCTTTTCATCACCGAGTTCTTCAGTGCGGATCAAAGAGCGCTGGATGCAGTGAAGTAGACGCCGCCTCTGCACAGGGTCTGATTCATGTCTGTGCTTTTCATAAGCCTCGTCCAATTCATTGAGGATCTCTGCAAGATAAATAAACAAGGATTTTGTGTAAAAAAATAAAAAATATCATAATGGCACAGACTGAAAAAAAATCCGGCATAAATCTGAAAGTTTTTACACAGAAATGAAGGCCTAGTACTAGAGCATACATGCAAAGTACCATAAAAAAAATAATATTTCATATGCAAGCTAATGGTGTAGTTGAGGAATTGTGTGGTATATGGATACAAAAGTACTTTACATCTTCAAAAACACAACATTGATGAATAATGCAAATATATATTATTTGTATGATTAAAAATGTATATTTTTCGTACAATTACTCAATCAATTGTTGGGATCGTATAGACCCCGAAGCCCAGAAGTGTAAACAAGAAACGAAGACCATTTGAAGGTTAAGTGTAATAAACATTGAAATGGAGCCCAAAGTATTCAGATTGACCAGTGCATTTTTTTTCTTCCTGTTGCGTCGACATTTACATTCGCTTGACACAGTCGCTGGTCATTCATGTGTATATGTGCAGTCTTCATGATATTTCGTATTTACGAAACACTAGCACACACACAACTGTGTTTTCAAGAAGCATATTAATTTAAACAGGAAGTTTAGTGGCGCTAGAATCTTCCAGACCCCTCGAAGTCGCTACAAAAATGAGTTATACATTAGATCATTTAAGGTAAATGACAAATACACTAACCATACATACCTAACCAACTTTGTAGATTTAACCATACATACGTAACCAACTTTGTAGATTTAACTTCACAATGGGGAGGGACGCTATGGGAGGGACCTGCGAGTTGCATGTGCTAACAATTAGCCGCTAGCCAGCTAGTTAGTGTGACATCTAACACCCGTTGCTCAAACAATGCAGTGTTTTCTTCTTACACGCGTGCGAGTGTCCATATAGTCTCACCTTGATATCTGGCATCTATTTCCTTCATGAGAGACACACATCTCTGTAGGTCCAGCGGCAAAGACTCGACCAGCTCCAGATACTCCTCAACATATTTCACCACAACATGAGACGACTCGCCGTTTGATGAAGGGTTCAGCATCTTTTCACACGCATTTAAGAACTTGGTAAGGCAATAGAAATAATAATAATTCTATCCTAGCCTTAAAAGTCTGAGCAGCTGAGAAAAGTTACTCATGTACGTGTTGTATTGATTTGTGCAGGACCCGTGACGCTTCTATGGCGGAGACTGAGCTCATGAATATAAATTACCTTACGCCGACGTTGCTTCGTAACCTTCCAAAGGGGTGTCTAGGCACGCGGAATCTAATTAATATTCATGAGCAAAACATTTAACGCAGAATAACGGTAGTTGCACGTAACGACGCTTGGTGGCGATTGATAGCAAGACTTCGACGCAACAGTGATTTTATTGTAGATGAGTGACTATGTTAGTTTTGTGGAATTGGCTGAACTGGAATTTTCGAACTGGGAATTGTATAAAAGTCTAGAGAAAAATAAATAACATTTACAAAAAATGACAAATTAATAAATAAAAACGTGAATTAAAATAAAAAGAAAATCAGTAATACTTTTTACTCTATACTTATTATAAATCATTTTGCAAACTATTAGTTTATAGTTAATTCATAGTTTATATATTGTAGTCTCTACATTTTTTATGTATTAATTGGCTATTCTATATAAAGACTGAGGACATTCATTGTTACTGTAATTAACCAAATTATTATATTGTTTAATTAGCTCATAAAGTTAGACCATGTTTGTTAACAATTAACCGTCAATAGTTCTCACTTTACATTTTCCCATTCACTTCACAGAAAATGGGAAAATGTCATTAATTAAGTGCTTTTATCCAACCTTTATTTGACAATAACTGCATTAATAGTATTAAGTGTCTGTTAAAATATAAAGTTTACTGTGATGGGTAGGGTTTGGGCTAGTGTAGAAAATATTGTTTGTATGTGTAGAGAGTACATTTTGCCTATTGAGAGTCCTTGTATACCACACATACCATTTTGTGTATGTGTGTGTTGTGTTTCTCCCTTCTTTTTATTCTGATATCTTTGCTTCATTATCAAGTAGCCTATATTATCTGCATGGCTATTCTGTATTATATCATTACAGAATAGTCTACTTAGAGTATAGGCCTACTGTCAGTCAATCTAAACACCTATGGATGCATCTAGTCTGTCTCACTGCGACATCTTGAATTTTGTCCTCTCTAGATTTTCTTTAGATTCTTTGATCATTATAAATCTTATGCTGAAAGGTTGAAAGGTGCATTCTTAAAGCACCATGAATGTCCTGCAGGGGTCACTTATGTTAAGGCAATGAGACTCGTTTATACTCAATAATGTTTATACTCAGCTCTGTTGTTTACTGGAACAACATCTATATTATTTTCTCATGAGTGTATCCTTGTTTCAATTACAGCCCTGAAGAGAAATCCAAAAGAGTTATCCTGCATTTTTAACACTTGTGAGACTGGCCTTTAAAAACTGTAAGTAGTTCTTTCTTTGTACATCTGTACTATTAGCGGTGAGCATGTCAGATGACTGAAATGTCACAGTGAGAGGGGAAAATGTGTATAAAGATCTCCAGAGGCCAGAACAGCAGTCTTCTAGTCATATACTCTGACCCGAGTGCTGTTGTAAAAAAAATCACCTCTTACGCATTTCAGTGTCAATGGAGGATTCAGAGTTTGGAGCATAGGTCACTTTCCACATTAACTGAATGTTAAGATTCAGGGTGTTGAGTAAACGCTCGCAAGCTAGGGATAATGAGCATTTAAACACCTACATATGACACATATATATATATATATATATATATATATATATATATGTATATGTATATGTGTGTGTGTGTGTGTGTGTGTGTGTGTGTGCACATATTCTTTTGAAGGCTTTTCCTTCATTTAGATGGTGGTGCGGTAATCAGGGGAAAAGTTTTTTGAAATGTGCTGTTAATGGGGCGACAAAAAAGTCTAAATGAATAAATGTTAAGCTCGTAAAGCTAAAAGACATGGATTCCAACCCCAGTAAAAAGTAGGGTAAGGTAAAGTTGTTGTTTTTTTGTTTTTTTCTTTTTGTTATACTGGTTGAAACTCTCTACACATTGTGATAGCGATCAATAGAAGTGGTCTAAATATTAAAACATTAAGGGGGGGAGGGTCATATTAGTCAAAATAGTCATTTTCCACATAATTTACACTTTAATTAATACTCTTACAATTTAATTTGTATTCTTAGATTTATTTTTTCTGTCAAATGATCAGATCCCACGAATATACATTTCCTGATACATAGAGTCTATTCACAACTTTATTTTGCATTTCAATTGTATAAATTCCCCACCTAGTACTTTATCTTATTGTGCAAGCTCTTAATCTTGATTGTTTGTTAAAATATTTGTTAAATCTTAATATTTACCATAACATGCTGTAAAAGGATTTCAGAATGTTTGCTCCTGCCTATTTCTTTTCTTCAGGAAGCTGCCGAGAATTAATGACTCTAGATTTCCCATGACGTAAACTCATTGTTCAGGCCCTTTCAGGATAAACACTCATGGGCTTGCCTTTGATAAATCTCATGACCCATCATAGAGTCACAATGTCCTAGATTACAGTTACCATTAGCTCACTTTAAGTACTATTCCACAGTCAATTAATTTTGTTGGATAAAATGTAATTAGGCTCATGGTTTAGAGTCAATCTGAATTGGTTTTCAGGTATTTGGTAATAGGTGGGGGTTAAAAAGGTTAGGAACGTTGAATGACTTAATCAATGAGTTCATCAATACAAGTTTTACAATCAATACAAGCAACTCTCTCTCTCTCACTCTCTCTCTCTCTCTCACACACACACACACACACAGACACAATGGCTCTGGAATTTATTGCGTAAGTGTAAGTAATTAAATCACTTCAGATTACCATAAATAAAGGGAAATAGGAGACCCAGATTTATTGTTTTTAACATTGTGTTTAATGCATCTCAGTTACTTGAATTTCTTTAAAAAGGGATTTGTGGACATTTGTGAGACTTCAAATAACTGCTAGCTTTACAATTGACCAAAAAGCATTTGGACTCTTAAACTACACTTAAATGTCTTGACATTATATAACAAAATATCAAATGGCATGGCATTTATATGGAAGAATGACAGCACAAGCAACGTTGGACCATATTACTAATATGTTGACTCAAAGGCCACATAAAAATGTAATTGCATATTTATTCAAGAAAAAAATAAACATAAAACTAAGACCATAAATTATTTTTTTAATGCCCTCTTTGGTGCTTTTTCTGTACATATTCAGATGCCCAAATGCAATGTCAGCGGTTGTCAGATAAACCCCTTCCTCCAATTCACTTTCTAATCATGCCCGTTTTTGCCACCCACTTCCTGTTTATCCTCCGTATTTCTTCATCTCTCCTTGGGTTGGTGTTTCCTCCTTCGTTCTGAGACAAAATCTTATTCCTGTACAAAAGTTGTTGGAAAAAGAGAAAACAATTTAGATGCAGAAAAACTCCCTGTACAAAAGTGTAAAACATGTCCGACAAACATGAAGAGGCTCTCCCTCTCCACATGTACTAGTCAATGTACAACACATAAGCTTTCAGACAATTTTTATGTAAGATAGCATCTGAGAAACAGTGACTACTTGTACGCACTATTATGTGATCAGACATTTGTCAGTGATACAGTTCCTCAATCAGTTCGATTTTCTCTTGTTTACAAAGTTTAGATGAGGAATATCCTGGCATGCTGTTACACGGGGTGTGTATATTGTATGTGTCTGAGAGCCCGTGTAGTGAAACTAGAGATGAAGAATGAGAAGCCGTTGGAGCGCTGTCTCCTCTTATGGTGACTAGCAGTTAATCAACATGATTTTGACTTTTTATGGTCTTGGTGCTGCCCAGTGCCAATGCTTGATAAGGACATTCATTCCCTCTCCTGTCAGACTGGTTTCCTCTCACTGGCTGGTGTCTTATCCAGCATCACTGGTGGCTAATCAGCGTGGAGACTTTAAGCTTTAATATAGTAACCCTAGATAGTGCTACAATGCATTTAGAAAGTATCCAGACCCCTGAAAACTTTTCACATTTTATGTTGCTGACTTATGCGAAGTGTTTTCAATTCAAATTCATTCCCACAACAATCTACACTCCACACTTCATATTGGCAAAGCAAAAGCTGAAAATGTATGTCTCCCGACGGTCTGAGGATCTGCGGAGGAAGATTGCAGAAAATCCCCAAATCTAGATGTGCAAAGATTGTTGTATAATTTTCAAAAAGGTCCTTCATTATTTATGGACCTGAATACTTATGCATTGTCATATTTCAGGAGTTTCTTTTTAATACATTTATAAAATGATCACAAATTATTTTTTGATTGTGTAGTGTAGATTGTGATTTTTTTTTTTAAAGCATTTTAACATAAGGCTGCAACATGACAAAATGATAACAGTATTAAGGGGTGTGAATACTTTCTAAATGCACTGTGAATGTGCTTGTAACAGAACGATTGTCAATTCCTTTTAACATAAAGTTACCTTTGTGTTCACCTTTGTCATTTGTTGGAATATGCAGTGTGCTCTTCTGTCGCAGAGAGCCGGACACAGAGGGGTATGACGCCACACAGGCGAGGTTACTGTTGATCACATTATCAGGAAGATGTACTCGACTCTCAATAATAAAAAACTTGTCAAGCTGCTTGTCTATGAAGGAAAAGTTCAAGGCAGGTTCCCAGTGAAGAGTGGGTTTCGTATTTTTATATGAGGCCTCACAGACAGCAATCCTCTGACCATGTTCAATGTCCAGACGAGTTTCCAGGCGGATAACTAAAAAACAAAGAACTTCAATTTAATTTAATTTGAATGTCAGTATAATAATTTTTGCCTATAGCTCTTACCTTCTTTATATATACAGTATATATATATATATATATATATATATATATATATATATATGAAGAGTTCAGATGCAAAAGCCTCTAAATGCCATTTGAAATTTTCTTCTTTAATGATGATTTTTATCAAACTTGTATATTTAAGTTCAGTAGTTTCACTTAAATGGCAATGATAATTACCTATTAATTGTTATTTAAGTGAAATTACTGAACTTAAATATACAAGTTTGATAAAAATCATCATTAAAGAAGAAAATTTCAAATGGCATTTAGAGGCTTTTGCATCTGAACTCTTCATATATATATATATATATATATATATATATATATATATATATATATAGGCTATATAGTTCATTTAAATCATCATTAGTTCAGAACAATAGTGAACATCAAGAGATGTAAGCATCACTGAATGAAACTAGCCAACCTCTGATGTAAACCTCAAACATTTTCACAGGTTTTGCTTTTTTTTTTTTTTTTACAATAAATCATGCTTGTACTCACCGCTTACAGAGACATTTACACTTTTGCCTCCTCCTTGTAATGATAAATCACAATAGTAAAGTCCTTCATCTTCCATTGAAATATTGGGAATGAATAATGAAACTCCATTTGAAGTGTTGTACAGCCTCTTTCCATCATTACAAGTGTTGTCCAGTTTGGTTTCCAAACCAAGATAACATTTTTGCCCTGCATACTGATGTTCCACACAATAAATTGTAATTCATTCCATTTGACATCAGTGACATTATCGGCACACCATAAAGACACATCGCTTCCCTCCACAAAGATCTGCTCTTTGAAATCTGAAAGAAAAGAAAACAAATCTTTAAAATCTTTAAATCGTATTTGAATTAGATTAATTGTATGTTTAATCAAACTAAAATCGATATATAAATAAATGTGATCTGCTTTTGACACGTTGAGTTTATATATATATATATATATATATATATATATATATATATATATATATATATATATATATAAATTGTGGGTATTACAATGTATTTTGCCTTTTTTTTCTTTATACACAAAACCTAAATTTCCCTGCCAAGCAAGATTTTATCCTTATGTGTCACTTCCTTAACCCTAATAGTTACAACATCCAGCAGCTTTTACAATAGATGCAACACAGTGTAATGTTTAAAAAGTAACATATAGTTCAGATAAGATTTAGTTTGACTTCTTGAGGTTGACAAAAAAAAAAAAAAATGTTTGTGCGAGGTCAATCTCCTCCCTTCACTACCATTCTGTTTTTGGTTTTTCCTTTTACTTTCTATTTTCTATCCCATTCATTGACAATACAGCTTAAATAATTAAAAGTGTATAGGTATATTGTCTGACCTGAGAGTTTTTGTTCGATCGCATCCTCTTGATTCGGATGTGATACAGTGTGTTCTCCTATAGGACAGTTAGTATACACAGCATGTTAGTACAGCTTCTTGTGAGCGCTTGAAACAGAATTGAGTATTCCTGTCTCTTACACAAATGTAAATGTGCAAGGTAAAGAAGAAGCTTTTATTATTTGTCATATTTCAAACACAAATCCTACACATGTGCATGAAATGACAAATTCATTCT